CAGGTCCCAATAATGAACTTAAAGTCACTGTTCATTGTCTACCAAAGTGAAAGGAATGACGAGAGAACAGAGAATTTTGTTCTGCGATTATGGTTTACATGACAGAACTCCTCAGCAGTCCAGCCCCTCTACCGTTTTTATCATTTGGATTAGTTACAAACTAGAGTGTGACTTCCTGAAGCGGGCACAATGCTGCTGACAGAGTGGTTTGGGTTGAGCACATGGCAACAACCAACTTAACCACTGCCTCATCAGTCTTAAAGGAGTAACAACTCAAACTTAACACCTAATATAAGACTAGGAAGCACACACAAGAAGCTTACCAGAATATAGCCATGTTGACAGGGAGGCCTGAATCATTGAAGTATGATATATTGCATAAGAAAAATCAAAACTACTTTATACCACTGACAATAACCCTAAGGCAGGATAATCTCCGTGAACCATGTGAAATGTAGGCTGTGTGAAACTTTTTTAATGTGTTTTATTAGGGACAATCAAGTCTAAAAATAAGATGAAGTTTTTTTCATGGCCAGTATTACCAATAGGTTAGAACAAGCCCAGAGAATATTTTTTGGCCGATATTTTTGAGCATATATCTAGATTGTGGTCATTTTCCCCAAGTTACGTTATTTGAATTTCTACAAACTAACTCATCCATGCTCTTGTTTTACTACAAAAGAGCAGTGTAGTCCTGTTTTTTTTCTGTCCACTCTTTGGAGTGTTCAAATAAAGCTTTATGGATATTCTTCATGTCTATTTATGCAGCTGGTTGAGGCAAACAAAATACTGGCCTCTGTTGGAGATTTAAGGCCGATAGCCAGAGAACTGAAAAGATGAGCTAAGTCAGAGCTAAATGAAACATGGGCAGTCAGGTCGCACCTTCACACGGCTGGCACTTTGAGATAATCTTGTAGTATGGAAAAATGTTACTTAAAAGAGATGGTGCCTTTTTTTGTATTTTAACTCTATGCACAGTTTTCTGTCTGTGTTGAACACATTTAATTTATATGGCACTTTTAATTGAGGTTAAACGCTTGCTGAAACTAGCCCTGAGCTCCCTAAAGCAACATGACAGCACAGAGTCACAGTCCAGTCCAAACTGTGGTCTTCACATGAAGGTGGTGTCAGAGGCTAAAGTCACAGTGGTGCATTCCTCCTAACAGCTTTATTCCACTGAGCAGCTCTCACAGCTCGGGGCTTCTAAACAACACCATCCTCATCTGGACTGTCTCCTCCTGTGAAGCACCGAGGGGATTCAATGCAGCCCTCAGACACACTTAAAACAACCACAAATCTGTCACACTTTAACTCACTACAATCTAAAGATATGCACTTGCATATAAAAGAGATGCTTTTAAACCATATGAACCCAAAGAGAAGTGTCACTTAAACTAAACAACTGGCAAATGACACACAGACAGCACAAAGGCATATTGTCCAGTTCTTTGCGATAATTTGGCTAAAAGTATTTATCCATGAGCCAATGTTTTGTCTTGTTTATCTGGAGATGCCAAGAAAAGTGAGAGATGCTGCTGTGGGAACTAATGAGTAAATAAATAAACAAATGTGCATATGGCAGAGACACAGGGTAGTACAGAGCTCCAAAGTAACAGAAAATAAAAAGATCAATAAACTTCTTCATAGAGTTGGGGCCTGGGTCAAATAATATTATCACAATTTATCTCGAACTCAAACATGGTCTTTACATTTTCATTCTTATCGTATCCTATTTATGATGTCAAAACTGCCATAAATACCTTAATTAGATTTCCTTGCATTGTCAATTGTTTACTTGCACAATAACCCTGTTTTGCAAGGTAGAAAGTCAGGGGAAATCTCGTTTCATAATAATCCTCAATTTTATGATTTTACAATTATTTTAACTCTCGACTATTAAAAACAACACAAATTAATTTCATTAATTAATTTGATTGCCCAATTGCCCAGTTGCACTTCTTTATGATCTAATCTCATTGCAGTGCACTTGTCGCAATATTACAAATTCAAACTCAGTTTCAATACTAAGGATGATAACTAACTCAGTACTGATTCTAATACCATGTACAATTCTAGCAGTAGAGTATTACTATGTGGTCGCATTGCTACTTTGCAGTGACATTGCGTTGAGGGTGTTCTACATGTATCTCACACAATGCACATCAGCAAACACTGTCAAAAAAGTTTTAAAGTACAAATTTCAAGAGCCTGTGACCTATATGAGGGTTAATGGTCCTGTTCAGGTGTTTGATTTTCAACAAAGAATGTGAGATGGACTACCTGGAAAACTGTTGGCTAATGCTAGCTAGCTTGTGCCTGGATTTTATGTGTGAGACTTATTTAACAGCACAAATGTAGTTCCACCTAAGTCAGTTCTTTCTGGTGAGATTCTGGTGATAAAATATAGCTCAGATTAAGTCTAACTTAAGTAACAGACAGACTTTCTAACAGTACTGTTTTCATTTAGCTTCACAGCCCCAGGGAATGCTGATGACATCAGCTGTAAAGGATCACAACTATTCTAAAACTATTCAGGAAAGGTCCAATTTTGTCCTTTTCACATAACTGTCAGTATTCTTTGATACTAGTTTTAATATTGATTAGTATCTGGACCTGTTTTGACTACCGCACACTAGTTCTGCTTGTTCCACTAACATGCAAAGTATTTGGGCACTAATAGTTATGCTAGAGTCCTCCTCAGTGGGGTTGAATTGAAGAGCTTTAGTCTAGTCTTCTCGTCTCACTGCAGGGATCGTAGTGTCCACACACACACTGAGACAAAGTCCTGTACAAACACTCCATTAACCACTCCAGTTTCACTCTGGCACAGGCATGTCCAGCTCTCACTGTCTGATACTCTGTCCTCTGAGACAGAACCACCAAAGCTGCCTCTTTATGTCCAAAAGTGTAAAACAAAATCCTGTACAACCTGAAAATATACAGTAAGCTTGTACAAGCATGACTACACAAGAGTTTAAACGCTGCCACTTCAATGATTGTGAGTGAGACAAGCTCAGGTGGTTCCCCACGGAAGTGAGTGCACTGCTGCACACTGACAAACACTGCATTCAAAGCTGAGCACCTTCCACCTAAGAGTAACAGCAGTCTACTACTCTAACAAAACTGTCTAGTACTAGTACACTCTCTCTCCTCTTGTCAGCGATAACTGACAAACTCCATTTTAAACACCTTCCATTTCATTATGACACAGGTCTGCAGTCCGCCCAGGGCCATAACCTACTTCTGAAAAAGAATGTTTCACCTGCTTCATCAGCTGCCACCTGAGCACACAAAATACACTTCTCACACACAGAATGCAAGGAGGTGACCGCAAGCAAAACTATGGATCAAAATATAAAGATCTTAATTCACAATGCGATGTGTCCAAAAATACAACTGACAAATAATGTTATGCACCTAGTCCCTACAGATGTAAGATTAAACAAGATAAAAATCAAAGTTGTGATTTGCTAATTGAAGAATTTAAGCAGCATTGACTTATCCAATATAATAATAATAATAATAATAATAATAATAATAATAATAATAATAAACAACAAGAATCATCATCATCATTGAGCCCTTGTACCAAAAGTCAGAATCGCACTCTAGCAACATGTACTATTACTGCACATGGCAATATCACTGATCTTTGTACTGCATCCTAGACAAAAAAGCTTTTGAGAGCTTCAGGTGTGTCTCTGAGTGAGTTCTCCTCTACACACGGGTCTTACGTTTTGTCTCCTCTATTGTGTAGTGTCTCCTTGCCCTGTTGAAGTACAGAGTATGGAGAACCCATAAGGAGTTCCCTAGTGATACTGCAATTTGGGAAATTTGAATCATGAGCCCTAAATCTAAGTTCACAAATTTCCACATATTTGTTATATCTAGTTATAGTTGGTCAGTTCTCCACTTTTCCCTGTGTACATGTAAATGTAGTGTGTGTCACTCTCTGCTTCTGAATCATGAAGTTCTACCTGCTAGTCTGCAGTGATAAACAGCCCTAGTACAGAAGTTAAACTTGTTTATTATTTACAACACATTAGGGAGAGTATTACCATAATCATGTTAGAACCAACAATAGGCCTAATGATGCCATCTGTTTGAAGCCAAGTTTTAAAAAGGACTTGACTTACAACAGAAAGGTATTTGTACAATACTGCTCCGAATACCAAGCTAATTGGACGCTGTGTCAGAGGTTTGCGTACAGGACAGTTATATGACAGGACATAATAAGAGGCCAGTGCACTGCTACCAACGGTTACGCAGAAGAAAATGGCTCTTAACCTTTGGCTGAACTCTGCTTAAATCTCTCCACTGGTCTGTGTTGTAATACTGTCAACATTTAGCAGAGAGAGTGGGCAAATGGAGAAAGTCCAGGAGGCATTTTAGACACTTTATTTGATATAATCATGCACATACATTTACTTATGCTCACTCTTCTTATTTCTTGTCTGTGCATGTGTGGGAATGGTTTAGAGACAATACCAGGTGTTTCTTATGGTTACCATCAGTCTGTATGGAATATCAGTTTTCACCTGTTGCTAGACATAGCTGAGGGGTTAAATTACGCAATGCATGACTGGTCCACTACTACTGCTCTCCTCCCTTTATGACAACATGCTGAATCACACACACTGACACTGTAATTCTCAATAACGTAAGTGTCCACGCCTTTGGATAAAAATGGCAAAACAAGACAGGTGTTACCATGGACTAGTTCCACTCATAAAAGCATTAGTTATCAAAAGTACACAGAACAGAAGAAAGTTGAATAGTCACTTCCTCATTTGCTGGTGAAGAGTGATAAGACGCCTAAAACAAGATTGTTGTTGGTATATGGAGCCATGAGCCAAAGGCACAGCCTGGGGGGTCAAAGTAATATAGGGATGAAAGGATATTGGCCATCACCTGAAGCCGGGGAAGGAATGTCACTCAGCTGAGGTCCATTCACTTCACTGCGCCATGAAACAGACACGTATTTAAATTAGGATACTTACAAACTTCTTTTTCCCGTCTCCATCCTCATAGCTCTTCTTGGATTTCTTGTCTTTCTTCGGGACAGCAGCCGAGGCAGAGTTCCCCGTGTATGGATCCATACTTTGAGCTTAATCCGTTTCCGTCAACTGTGTGATAAAATAGACCACTGTGGCAAAACTCTCCCTACACCCTAACATCACACACATTAAATAAACAGTCCGGTTGGCTTTGATTCTGTATTTACATTTGGCAATAATAAACTCCCATGGGCCTAAACTTCATGCTAACTAGCGCAGTGTTGCTAATAATTTGGTAAGCAGCCAACTTGAGTGAACCCCTCGCTAAGCGTCCAGACTCTGTCAAAAGGAGGGAAATTCAAAGCACTGACCTATGTCTGAGAATAAACACACACTGACTGACTGAAGCGGGTTGGAAAAGAAACTGATTTAGTCTTAAGTAAAGTTGAGAAGATACATCAATCTAAACCCTGCGAGTTTTGATTAAAGTCTTCAGGGAGTGCGTTACTTGTAGCGCTAATGTTAGCTTTGGCTAGGCTAGCTCGCCTGCTACAGTAGGTAAACTCCGTGAGAAAAAAAAAGTTTGTTCTTCTCTTGCCCCAGAGTTGCTCAAGTATTTCCAGAGCAGGTCCGCGTTTGTGTTAGAAGTGGCTTGGATCGGTAGTTTCCTCCATATTAGTTTCTATGGCCTGTGCAACTTGAAATAACTTTTTTTTTACCCGAATAACAGAAGGTAATCGTCTCCGCAGCGGGACAGTCTTCCTGTTCTGTCAGTGCGAGGCTGGAGGGCGGAGCTAAGGCGCGCAGCTCTACACCTGAGAGGATTTCACCAGAGCAATGTTTACGGAGGTCCACATACTATCTGGTTATTTTACACTAGATAAAGCACAAGGTAAGATAAGCTGTTTTATGGACTTGTCAGATGTTTAGGCCAATGTAGATTATGGGGAATATCCTACAACAGGCAAGCGCCTCATAAAGTAGCAACTGAAACATAAAAAATGCAAACCCTATGATTTAAGCTAATTTTATGCCTTTTTTCCTTTCAGCTTTTGAACTGCCAGTCAGACATCCCCACTTGCTCTTGCCTACTAGACATGGGAGTAATTCCAGTTCATTTGAGTAGATCAGTCAACCTTGTGAATCACAATTAGAAATTCTCATTACGCCCCACACTTATTAAACCATATGAAAGACACGGTGTCGTGGTTACGCATGCCTGAACAATGTTAAATTACACAGTAGGCCACGACATGTATTTGACAAGCTGCCGTCAGAATGAGCGAATTCATATTCAGGCACTAGCCCCATCTAGTGGTAACATGGTAAACCAGAACTACAGCCTACAAGCCAATTAAATGGATTATATAAATAAGCCTACATTGGTAATAAACAATGAGCTAATAAACCAAGGCAATATTTCGCTATGTATACATCCTACATAACTAGACTCTCCAGTGTATTTCTGAGATTGTCTGTGTGCATATTTTACACTAGCTATTACAATAACCCACATGACATAAGTAGCAGATAAGGCAGAGATAAGGATCTGTTCTGGTATGCAGGACATATTTTCTGGCAACAAGATTGGAAATTATTTGCTTGCCTCCTGTGGCATAGAAGCGTTTATCACAAAAGGTTCATCACACTGTAACCCAGAGTCTCCTAAATGTCGGAAGCCACTATAGTGAGAAACGTTTGAAATTTAAATTAAATTTTAAAGTACATGGTTTTACTGATAGCACCATGAGCCTCATGGACATCTCCTGGATGTACATTTGTACAGTGTTTGTACTGGCCTTTCATAAACAGAAGAAAGATGAACTCATCCCTCATATAGAACATTTAGAGAGCTTATTAAGTCCTCTGTGTTTAATTTTCTCACCATTTTGCATTTTACAAGAAACAGTGGTGAAATCTGAACAGTTCACAGCACAATGTACACCACTGAATAATAAAATAATTTACATCAAGCACATATTTCCTTACTTATCCATGTGTCTGCATAAGTCTGACTCCAACCAAAAAGAATGCAAGATTTGTTGTCTTTACAAATTCTAGTTAAATATAGCTTATTTTTTTATTTATTTTACTCTTATGAACTCATATGTAGGCCTGTGGTTATGAAAATGTCTGCACCTTGTGTTTTTGGTAACCTTTGCAGCAGAGTCTCATATGCTCCCAGAACACTGAAGGGGGTACTACATGGTCAATGCTGTGCAGCAGCATCACTGGGTCATTTACACTGCGATAATAGTCCTGGCACAGTTCGGTTAATGTCTATTTGTAAGAGGTCCGGGCTTCTCTCAGGGACCTGTCATATGGCATGGAGGCGAAGAAAGAGTTTCGCAGCTGGCAGTTAATAAAGAACACGATGAGCAGCACCAGGAGAAAAAGCAGCAGGCACATGACGATGTAGGTGACCAGGTCGGGCTTGTGGAGCTCGCCCTCGCGCATCCCTCCTCCCCCGGAGCTCCCACGCGCCGCGGTGGGCCTGAGGAGCGCCGCCACGCTCACAGATCCACTGCTGTGGGACGAGTTGAGAGAAGAGGGTGCGTGCGTAGAGGACTGTGTCATGAGGACCAGGCCAAAATCCGTGTTGTCAGTGGAGTTGAGGAGGATCTGTCTGAGCATGGTGAGGCGGAGGCTCACCGGCTCCCTTGGTCAGCTAAGGCGCAAGGAAGAAAATTTAAGATAAAGTTCTTTATGTTGTAGGCATAATATTATTTCGGACAAGACAAACACGTATGGCAACAAAATAAAAACAAATCCGGTCACTTTCAAAACAAAGAAGCCTGAAAAATCTATTCACCGTAAACTGTTAGTTACTAACATACGCAGCAAGTTAACTAATCATATTCTAGTGGAAGATGGAACACTCACTTTGTGGCGCGCTTCAAAGAGTTGCGCAAATGGAGTGGACAAGACGAAGTGTCGCCTCTGCATTCCTTAGCGTCCAGTTCTGTGTGCTCCTGCTCCACAGAAGACGCGCTGAGATGGAGCCACTGTCCATATGTGGCACCACAGCGTCCACTATATCAGACCAAACCAACTGAATGAGAATGGGTCAGCGCGCACGTATAGAAATCCATCGTGATATTTTCGGTTTAAAATCCAAACTGTGCGCAAGATTTTGCCTTGAATCCAATGAAGATTCGGCTTTAAAAGTGAAGTTCAACAGTACACATGTCCCAACTGTGTGACACTGCAAAACAATCTCCTTTGCCTTGTGCGTCCTGTGCGCAAAAGAATAAAGGGCAAGTCTGGTCGCCCTCTTTTGCCAGCCCTTCTTTTATCCAAGTGCTCATCGATAGCCTTTTGATATATGGCGCGGAGACACTCTTACGGGACTATTGATCCAGGATGACTAAGAAGAGACGAAAAGGTGGGATTAATTAAGTTCAGCCACAGCCGCGCGCAGACACTCTTCCTGTCGTCGCCTTGTGGGAAGTGTGTGAACAGACGGGGAAGAGAGAGACGCAGATCAGGGGAAGGGAAGGAGGGCGCTGCAGGCACGTCAGAGGACCATGTCAGTGTTAGGAGAAAGAGCAAATCTATCTATCCATCAAACTTGGACTGAAGTCTTACACCCAGTGATGGTTTATTTTAGTAATTTGGTTATTACAACGTCTGAATTGGTTTTGGTTTGAATACGCTTGGGTCCATCAATTTTTGCATATTGTGCCAATATGCACAATATGTAAAATCGGGTTAGATTCCTTTAGTTTTATTATTATTATGTTTTAATGTATTAATTGTTCATCCTTTCATGGATTGTGAGTGGCTGGAGGGTACCAGAAACTATGAACCTGGTGGGGTATTATACAATTAGTCACAGCTGACGGATAACCACTGTCATATTTAAGAACAATAGTAATACAAATCAAGCATGGTTTGGGGGAGGAACTCAGATCCCTCAGAGCCCACTGGCTCAACCCAAGGTCCATGAAAGGCAGATGGAGGATGAATCTTCAAACTTTCTTTATGTAATATTACTTTTTCAAAACAATTAATTGTGTGTTGACAAAGCAACAGTATTTACACAGCTGGGCTATCTTCCTAAATAGATTTTGGAGAGAATGAGTTAATTTATTGCATGATATCATCTTTACACATAACAAATTAAGTCTTTTAAAATCATGTTGCATTGTCAGTCACAGTAGAATTACTCAGCCCCTAAACTGAGGTCAAACGTGGTGAAGTGGGGTGGAAAGTCTGAGATGAGGCACCGTAACCAAGCGAGTCCTAAAAGCTCTGCCAGTCTGATTCATATTCATGTGCACCTGTTTTGTCACGACAGAATGGCTGCCAGACATAAAGCAAGGACGGAGGGGCACGCATTGCAGATAAATACTGTAAAACACATCCAAATGAGATGAGACTTTGATGCCAAACATCAAACACTGCACAAAATCGATAGACAATAGAAAGATGGATGCAATCAGCACTAATAAGATAAACACCTAACTGTCCTTGTGAGCCAGATATTGGCTTGTAATTTAATAATAAAGAGGATTACAATGGACTGTGTTTATTGTTGAGTCTGTGTCTTCCCCGAAGCTGTATTTACATAAGGAGACACAACTGTGATTACTTAACATCACTGTTTATTGTTGCGGTGAATATTTCTGTCATGCAAGAAATGTGAGAATACATCGACAAGTGTTTAGCTATTGTCATCCACATTGCTGGATGAGTAGTGCAATATTTTTGGACTCCTTGAAACATCATACTTTTCTCCAATAATTTTCAGTGATTTCTTTTCACTTTTGGAAACTGTTCCAGAAAAAAAATTATTAGTTTGTTTTTGCTGATAGAGTTGCATGTTTCATGTAAAGCCAAGTTATTGTAGACAAATTAACTATAAACCATGTCAAAGCATGTGCAGTTTGTCAGTGAAAAGACACATTCTATACCATAGAAGTCCAACCTTAACCTCCAGCTCAAGTTTTAGATTATGGGCTCTTTAGAATGTTGTGATATCATCTGAACACAACTTAAAGATGCACTGTGCAACTTTTCTGGTGGAGGATCCATCAAATGCTTGTCTCCATGGAGGTGTTATTGCTTTGGGTGGAATATTTCACCTTATGGTATTAAACCTTTCTATCTTCATGGAGACTAAACCAGACCAAGTTACAGGTCAGATTTCTAGGGAGGCAACACCGCCCACAGTCAGAATACCTGTTTTTGTAGGTATTTTTGAGCAGTAAAACCACCTGTAATTAAACAAATGTAAAGTAGAACTGTTTAGTGCCATTCCAGGCAGAGCAATGACATATCTGCAGAAAAAAGCATGTGACAGACCCTCCACAAGAAAAGTTACATAATGCACCTTTAAAGATATGCTCATCCCAATATTCAACATCATTTGTTTTAATATCAGGCAAACCCTAACATTGAGGTTGATGCTTTTTGAAGTGATGGTTCATTTAACACTGGTCTGTCATTATCTCATGTTCGTCAAAGGAAGACAAGAAGATCAGGTTAAACCTATTACCTGTAACCCGTGACAATGGAATTTTGATTAAGAATGTTGAATAGTAATTTCCAGCTGCTGTAGGCTTCATTAGAGACCTCATAGCATGTGAACACCCCCTATTCATTTACTACGCCATGCGACATGTCACACAAAAACAAAGGGCTCCTCACTAAATATATCTGCTCTCCATGTGAAACATACAAGCTACAGAGCACTTCATCTTTTGCTCATTTCACAGTGATTTCCACTTACTGTCCTCCCCTTCCTTCAACCGCCACCAACTTGTTCTGTTTTTAATCCGTTATATGGAAAAGACAGCTCATCCATGAAGAACTCCAAAAAGATAAACAAGTTTTTTGGACTTCCTTTGCGACTTATATTGTGTTGCTCTATGTAAGGAGCAGGCAGGCTTTTGAATTGGTTGATGTGGAACAAGCAAATTACAAGGACAAGAGCATCGGGTTTATATCATCCACTCACACAAACTGTAAATTGACACAAAACTCTTTACACATGAACATGAAACCAACTAAAATGTACAAAATACTGCTGTTACATCCAGGATTTTAAAACTGGGTTGTCAAGTGCAGTACTGTAAATTCAGAAGGCAGCTGCAGCTGTAAAAATGTATTTACAAAAAACATACAGTAAACTTATGTTTTATTTAACAAAGAAAAAGAATGTAGTACATGTATAAAGTAACAAATTTACATCACATAAAACGAAAGGTTTTGTTTAATGTTTCGTGGGAGTAATATTGTGTTTCTGGAACTGTTCATAGCACAAGTTGTAGAATCAGAGCCAATGAGGAACTATGTCATTTTGTATGGATCTCTCAATGTGACAAACGTTGCTCCAAATCATACCTATTAAGGATCAATTTGTCTTAATAATAAACACATTTTTCTGCTTAGGTCAATAGTTGCTTCATGTTAAAGTGGACAATGGTGAAACAAGTGTGTGTGATTTGGACTGTGGCATGGTGGTAAGAACATATTGAGGTTGGAGCATACAGTTGGGCGAATTGTGGAGGACTTAGTCATTTGATTGCAGAAAGCAGAAGTTGTTGATAGTAGAGACCGATGATGCATTGTTAAGTCTGCTTAAAGATCCTATATTACACACAATTCTCTCTTGTGAAGTTGAAGTCATATTAGAATGTTGGTACCTCATGAAAAACATACTCAAAGTTGTGTTTTGCTTCAGTCACAAGATTTAGTGATCCTGCATTATTAGTCTGTCCACATCTCCAAAGCTCAAAATACTTTGTTCCACTTTGTGATTTCATGAAGTTGTCGTTTTCTTGTTAACATCTATCTTTATCAAAGATATTAAAGATGTTCATTTTGTTTTCTTGTGTACTTTCAGGAGTACATAATCCAGAAACAAGGCACGGACAGCATTAACCGTGATGACGGAGTGTTCCTCCTTTCACACACCTGGGACACCCTCCTCCAGAGAAAACCGGGCGATGGGAGGTGTGGTCAGTCTAAGCAACCTGCCAGGTCAATCAGGCTGACCAACAGCTGATAGACGACATGTCACCACCAACACCAGTGACATTTCTGAAGATGGTTTGCAACTAGCAGCAGAAACATGTCAGCAAGGTAATACACTTTACTAGTTTGTCTTAAAAAACAAACAAACAAGAGGTTAATCTATACGTACCTTTTGTGCAGTAAAGAAAAATCTGAAATTATCCAAATGATTCTAGTGAACGTGTATGGAGTTTAAAAACACAGTGGAGCTCTTCTTGTATAAGCACATGACATCACAAAGTGTTAGAACTTAGCCTAAATATGGCGTGTGTGTATACTATACATGTGTGAATGAAACAAAATACAAAATGTAATGGGTATGTTTGTGATGAGGAAACAACATTATAACATAGATCAAAAATAACAAAATATAGGCCCTTTAATCTTTTCAGTTTGAGGATGCATTCCCTTTATTCTTACTCTTGACTTTCAAATATATTTAAATTTAAACATATTCAGTCTGTGCACAGCCGTCATTATAAATATTCAGGTGACATGAGTAAAAAGCTTTAGGAATCGTTATTTGACAATAATAGTCGTTTCTTTTTTTAGCTCTGAGATCCCGAGAAAGTAGAGTAATTATTAAAATGCTAATAGCCCAGAATGTATTGTACTGTGCTCACGTCATGGGGGATTACACAAAACGCCCAGACTCTGTTTTCTCTCATGTCAATACAGAGCCATTTTCTGTCTGATTGATTACAGGCATCGTTCTAAACAAACAAAATGTGACATGATAATGCCCCTGCCCACTTATTTAATGTAATTGTGTTCATTTTCTTCAATCCATCTCCTCTTTAACCCCCTCATAAAAAAACCAAAAAAACAAACAAACAGCAAAATAGGATTTCTTCCTGCCAGCGCATCAAACGCCCCCATTGGCAAAAATCAGACACTCTACAATTAGTCACTTGATTATCTCGCCAGAGCACCAAATGCATCTACTCATCTCAGGGAAAGGTTTTAAAGCTGAGGTATTTACTCCACACTGTGATGATTGACAAAGTGGTACAGAAATAATGGGCATAATCCATAGAGCAACTATACATTTAAATAATTTCTACTTGAAGTGAAATTATAGTTTAAGGTTATGCATTTACATTTTTCCGCTGACATAGCTTTTCCTTGCGTTGGCTGTTTAGTTTCTGTGGGAGGGCTAAAAATAGTGGAAATTAAATTTTAAGAAAAGGGAAGAACATAGTATCATTTTATATAAAACAGTGTAAAAAAAAAAAAAAAATCTAAATGAGTTTTCTAACTGTTATTTATCACTAACTAGTAACTAGAGAACAACTTTGAAAAATATTGTGGGTTTTTTTGTTCCAGCATTGTCCAGTTAACAGTATAGACCAACATGAGATATTGACCAAACCGATATCATGGGATCTGATCCATCAAAATGTTAAATATTGG